GTAATAATCCTACATTACATATTCTTTATATCAATACATATTTTTTGATGTATATATATATACATATAATGGTCATGTTGATTTGGAATTTTTATTTTTTGTTTATTATGTAACAATAACAATTTTTTATAAAGATACATTATGTTCTCTTGTAATATATCATTTCCAAACTACTATTGAAACCTTAAAATAAAATAAGAAAAAAAAAAAAAAAAACACTAGTAAAATTTTCCAATAATTAATGTTGGTACAAAATAATATGGCCTCGATGTCAAGTTCTTATTGTTATTATGAATATCGTTACCGAGTATGGGAAATTTAGCAATAGAAAACCTCTAAAGACCTTTAAAAAACTACAAATAGATTGTAGCTAGATTTTGTTATTTCGAGTTCGATATAATTTTATGGAAATGGAACAATAGTTTCTTCATTGTATTTAACTTCTCGACTCCTACATAATAGAAAACTTACAAAAAATAATCTATCTTTTAGTATATGTGTGCTTACTATATATATAATGTATATATATGTATGTATACATATATCGAATGTATAGATACCGATTTTTTAGTTTCTTGATTTAGGACTACACGGGCAAGCATGTGACCGCGGAGAACTTCTATGCGGTGCTTCTAGGTAACAAACATGCATTGAAAGGTGGAAGTGGAAAAGTAGTCGATAGTAAGCCGAATGATAGAATATTCATATACTACTCGGATCATGGCGGCCCTGGCATATTAGGTACGGTGTGTTTGTTTTGTGAGATTGTTGGGAAAAAAAAAATATGTAAAATATAAAAATTTGTGTATGAAATATAAAAATAATGAATGTGTGTAATGTATTAATTTTTTTAAAAAATCGTGTTGGAAAAAGTATAGAAAGAACAAAGCCTACCCATTACATCTTTGGGGAATAATTAGTGACTTTGATATATTATATTATTCCGTGCGAAGGAACTTACATTTTTAATCACAGGTATGCCGAACACACCGTACATATATGCGAAAGATTTCATCAATGTTTTGAAGAAGAAGCACGCGGCTAAATCCTACAAAGAGATGGTGAGAAATTTACATCATTAACTATTGAGACTTTGTTCTCTTGTCCTTAAATTCTTTCAATGTAGTCAACTATAATGTAAGAATCGAATTAGTTTTCCTAATGATTTTTTCGAAGAATCCCAATTCAATGCAATGATTTTTTCGCGTCGTATTTAGGTTATATATGTTGAGGCATGTGAGAGCGGGAGTATATTTGAAGGGTTGTTGCCTAATGATTTGGACATCTACGTGACAACGGCATCAAATGCGGAAGAGAATAGTTATGGCACGTATTGTCCCGGAATGGACCCTCCACCGCCGTCGGAATATATCACATGCTTAGGAGACTTGTATAGCGTATCTTGGATGGAAGACAGGTATATACTTCTTCTATTGTCTTTTTCGATAATTTTCTTGGTCCATGTTGATATATGGAAAGCAATCATGATGTGTGGCCTACATTAGTGATGGGCTTCGATCCCTCGTATTTCTCTTAAAAAGGAAAGAAAAAAAAATGATTCTTATAAAGAAAGATAAGTCTTGATAAGTCCGCCTCATAAAAGTTGGTGTAATAAGCGAACTAGTGAATGCAAAATCATAGGTTCAAATTTTACGCCTTCTCAGTCAAGTCTGTTACGCCATACTTGTCTACTATGGTTTACTTGATCGGCCTAATTTGTAGACTATTACACTTGACCCCATGGTTTATCCAATACATACTAAAAAAGTAATACTCCATCCGTCCGTCTCTAAGGGTCACATTTACCTTTTGCATCATTGTACTTTACGTTAAAAATATTTTTATATTTGTATAATTTTTTTTGTACAAATGTCTATCTATTAATATTATAAGATACTAATAGAAGTAATTTTGCAATTTTTTTCTTAATTTGCACTACATTTTGATATAATAATTAATATTCAAAGATCAACACGCAAAAAGTAAATGAAACTCTTAGAGCCGGACGGAAATAGTACTAAAAAAAAGAGTAAAGATCGGTGGTTCTTATATTATAAATATATATTAGGACCAATTCATATTGAATCGGATGGTTGTGTGCAATTTATTTACGGTACTTAGTTGATATTTAAATAAATATATATATATATATATATCGAATGGTATATCTTACGTGTATACTTCATGTGCAGCGAATCTCATAACCTCAAGAAAGAGACAATAGAGCAACAATACCGTAAGGTATTGACTCGAATAAACTCTTCTTTGTTGCATAGGTGTAAATAACCATTTTTAGCATGACAAACTTATATTGTTCATTAGGTTAAGGAAAGAACGTCCAACTTCAACGATTACAATGTTGGATCTCATGTGATGGAATATGGGAACACAAACATTTCTTCCGAGAAGCTCTATTTGTATCAAGGGTATGATCCGAAAACCGAAAACCTTCCTCCAAATGAAATCCACTTGAAACAGAGGATTGGGGCCGTCAACCAGAGAGATGCCGACATTCTTTTCTTGTGGGAACAAGTAAGTCATTATGTTCAAGAACAAAAAAAATAAAATAAAATCTTTAAGTATATGTTTGTAGAACTCGAGTTTAATTCTTTCTTGCAGTACAAGATGTTGGGCAATAAATCAAGCGAGAAGAATGAAGTTTTGAAGCGCATGACCGACAAGATATTGTATAGGAAACACTTAGACGCTAGCGTAGACACGATTGGTTCTCTTTTATTCGGCCCCCACAATGGCCCCTCCGCTCTAAAACATGTCCGGAGCCGTGGTTTGCCCCTCGCCGACGATTGGGATTGTTTAAAAACAATGGTGAGCGTTACATTTCTTACACATCAATTATATTTTCGCGCGTAACTACATGGGGGGCAAGGGGGCTCCAGCCCCTCCTTCCCTCGCTCCACCCCTTATATAATTTTTAAATTATATATACATTAAAAAAAATATTAAAATTTTAGTAAGTAAATTTTTTTAAAATCAAAATTTTTTATTTACCTCTTTATTATAAAAAATATCGAAATTTTAGTAAATTAAAATCTTCGGTATGACCTAGTATCATATTGAATTTTTTTAGTATCGTAACATTATATATTTTGATGTTTTCAGTATATACTAAAATAATTTCGATATTTGAGTATTCGGTATATCGGTATATACAAATAGCTCAATATATTGATACCAAAATCATTTGAATCTTACTATTTGGGTATGAAATAGTATATATCGATATTGTACTAAAATTTTGACAAAGTATCAATATATATGGATTTATCATACTAATTTTTTGAATAGCTCTCCCTTTATTCGAATTCTGGTTCTACGGTTGTATATATATATATTGTTTCTTTGTATCATCTTCAGGTCCGGATGTTCGAGTCGCAATGTGGTTCATTAACTCAGTACGGAATGCGACATATGCGCGCATTTGCAAATTTATGCAACAACGGGATTTCAGCCGGGGCAATGGAGGCGGCGAGCACCGCGGCTTGCGGCGATCGGATCGCCGGTAAATGGGGTGGGTTGAGTGAAGGCTATAGTGCCTAAGCAATGTTAAGATTGTGAATGGTAAAGAATTGAGAGTTTGGGTTGGTTATGTCCAAAAGTTTAATGTCTGAAAATATATTTTGCATAAGGTAACATTTTACATGTCTTGCCCTTTAGGACATCAATCAATCTATATATCATATTCATATGCTTGCTAAAAACCTACGAATATTTATTTTTCGATATATATTTTCGTTGGTTGTCTATATAGAAAACCTGCTTATGCTTAAGGTGTGTTCGTTTGATGGATTTGGATTAAATTCCACTATTCATCCAAAATTTTTCCCCCAAAAATATCAAATCAAACACCTATTTTTCATTTTTTATATTATACTAAAAATTAATTTTACATTCAAAACATCACATCATCACCTATTTATATCACATCAAACAACTATTCAAATTCAAAATTTTTACTATTCAAATCCCAACTCAAATATGCAAATATGCATATATTTGATATTCGAATCAAATCAAATAAATACCCGAAATCACAAACTTTATTCGAATTGAATTTTTTATTAATCAAAAATATTTGCAAATAATTCAAACCGAATCGAAATTTAAAAAAATATATATTAAAAATTAATTTAAATTTTAATTGAATAAAGATATTTGCAAATATTTCAAATATCCAAACAAACCAAATCGAATATAATAATTAATATACATATATTCGGTTCAGTTATCGTAAAATCGAAAAAAATATCAAAAATCAAAATCGAGCAAATATCAAATACGCAGTATTTGTATTCAAACCAAATTTGCTCGGTTAATAAAAAATTCGATTCGATTCAGTTCAATTTTTTGCCCACCCCTAACACTAGCCAATATATAAAAAATGCCTCTGTTTCCTGTCTCTTTCTTATAATTATTTATATCCGTCTCATATAATTTGCACTTCTTAAAAAAAATATATAATAATATATTTTAATCACATTTAAAATTTCATATTTTATAATTTTTTAAATTTTAATTATATAATTTAATTATTTTTATTATATAATAATTATTTTTTACTGATACATTTTTTTTAATTACTTATTAATTATACTTTACCTTTATATCTATAATAACATGGACAATTTATTCGGAACCAAGAGAGTAATTATTATTGAAACAAAGACATTAACCATGCAAAGCATCACATTTCTTCTCAAAGATGAAATGTTTGTATGTATGATAAATAAGTTAGTTTTCTTCTTCAAAACTATCATTATCAATTTAAAATCTTCTCAAATGATTATCCAAAGTAGAATGTAAAATTCAAAATTCTATGATGTTTGAAATATTATGGTGTAAGAGACAAGTGTAACAACTCCATCTATATCGCAAAAATTTCTTCTATAACGAACATGTCAACACTAACAACATATTTTACCATCACTGAATAATTGATCTATCATAGCAATATCCTCTGGTATAACTATAATCACCAAATGTAAAATAAAAAATATATATTTTAGGATGTCAATTGAAAGAAGATCATAGTCGTCCTTAACATGTCCAACTTTATATAACCTATAAAACCCAATGCGGTGCAATATTTTAAAAACCCTAAGATGAAATGCAAGGAATATACCAATCAAATACTCCCTCCGTCCCATAAATATATTCTTAATTGAGTTAGACAAGAGATTTAAAAAATATTGATATTATATGAATAATTGGTAAAAAATATGAATAAAAGACATTTTTGCCCTTGTGAGTGTATTAGTGTAAAACGTAATAACAATTATGTAATAAAAATGAAAAAGTAGAAGTAGTTTTACAATGATATAATTATTCGTGGAAACAAGACTATTGTTTTGGGACGGACAAAAATAGTAAACAAGACTATCATATTGGGACGGAGGGAATATCTATTAGGACAAACAAGAATAAACATATGATCAATTAACTCACCATTACGGATACCTTCAGAACAAAATGTCGATTGAAAATAAAGGAATCGAACGTAAGTGGGGCCACACATCCATCTCCATATGAAAACATAATCTGGAAATAATAAAATTAGAATAAAAATAATAACAATAATAATACACACCAAAAAGCAAAATATTTATAATATGGGAATGAAAACATTTTTCAATATTATCCTTACAAAGAGCAAAATATTTATGCATTCCGAACATAATTGTGTGCAACCTAATTCTGTTATCCGCACCAAAATCACTTCACCCGAAAAAATATATCATATACCATATATTTACAAATCTAGTTTATAGATAAAAGTTTGTTAATCAAGATTTTGCATTGGTAAAGAAAGAAACACACGTACTCGAAAAATATTCAAATTTAACAATGTCGAAAATCTTTCAAAAGTCACACCACTTGCATCTAACTCACACATTCATTCCACAAGGAAGGAAACAGTTTTTTCATAAAAAAATCAATATGTTCTATTTTTTTTAAAACAACTGATAATTTCATTTCACCATAAAAAAAGGATTACATAAACCAATACATACAAATATATATATATATAAATATATGTTCAGCCAATATGTGATATGTATTCAATAGGAGTAAGAAACATACTAGAACTTTGAATCTCTACTACAGAAATGATTTGAATCTCTATTGTAGAAATTTAAATAATATAGAACTTGAGCCAAAATATTGGCCAGCTTTAATACTAGAGAATATATCATTTTTCATTTGTATCCACCGGATTCAACCAAATGACACAAACCATGCAGAAACAAGAATCCTAATACAGAATCAATCAAAATCAAAGAAATTACCTCAAAGACTTTGAAATTGAAAGGAAGAAGAAAGGGAGAGCATATTTGATGTGATATTTATTGAAAAATGAATAATCCCAAATGGGTGAAAATGTATGTGTAAACAAAGCCATATATTTCTTTATCAAAAATTTCTCAAACTTTATTATTTGAACTCTGTAGCTTCAAAAAATATAAATAGATACTTTTTCACAAATAATGCTGAAAATTCTTTTATCACAAGACTCAAACAAAAGTTTTTTCAAACCAAACCCATAAACCATATTATAAAAAATGAAAAATAAAAAGGTGAAAGATAAATCCTGGTACTAATGCACTGCTCGAGTCAGACACTAATGTATCAGCACAAGTTCATCCATCAGACAGGGATAACTGTAAAAATTAAAAGTATCATCATCCCTACAACAAACAGTGCTCAATCCAAAGGTACTTGCACCTAAAATTATAATATTAGCTTATAACAAGACATACTTTACCTTCACACTTTTAAAAATTTTAGCACTATTCATCCAACACATTAAATATTCATTTTCTCCTATGAAACATCACATTCAATATATAAATTTACTATTAAAAAAAAATCAAACCTCCAAAAAATATCCAAGAACTTTAATTTGGTTACTCAGAAATTATTCAGGCTCCAGCAGAATAACTTCAACCTTTGAAACAAGGTTAAGCTATCAAAATAACCATGGGTACAACAATGATGGATTCCTTGTCAGATCACAACTTTTCAACACAGTTAATCAGACAGGGATAACTGTAATTTGTTGATCTCATCACTCCAGGATGACATCTACACACCATAAAGCAAACAAACAATATTCAGAATCCACAAGTACCTAACCAAGGCTACATACAGATGGTAAAGAGGAACAATTAAAGTGAAAACCTAAACAACCACAAAACCGAAGCCTCAGTCCGTCCTAGTTCAAATGCAATCAACATATAATACAAGAGTTGTGATTTTCAGATTCGATCAAAGTTAGCATCATTGGCTTCGAAATAGCTAGCATCGATTGCCTCCATTATCGTAAAAATGGAGAAACAAAGCATTCCGGACAAAACAAGGATACGAACAAATAGAATGATTATAAAGAAAGTTGCATAGGCATCAGATCTTCCTATTCAGATGAGCGTCATCATACTCTAATCAAAAGAATCGAATCGAGCATTCCACTCAGAAGCGTACATCACTTGCCTTTACATGCATACATAAATTGGAGGAGGAAGAAAAGAACGATGAAGGAAGGAAGAAGAAAGGGGGAGGGAGAAGAGAGTTGGGAGAGGGAGCGGCGGGTTATATATATATACACATATATATATCTGTACTGTAGACTGCATTAGGGTTTGATACTTGGGCTGGGCTGAATTTTATTTATTTATACTATTAAATACTATTACTATTATTTTTATTTTTATTTTTTTATAATAATAATATGTATTAAAAATATAATTGTTTTGAATTTAACTGATATAATAATGGTAATAAAATTATATATTTTATTTATTTAATATTTACAGAAAAATAGATATTAATATATTTTGGCAAAATGATTTTCAAACTTGAACAAATTATTGGTACAATTATATATAATAATATTAGAAAGTTTAATAATGCAAAAGAATATATTATTGAAGTTTTATTTATATTTTACTATATAATCATTAATTTTATAAAAAATCACTTCCTCGTGTATATATATATATATATATATTAAATAAAGTTTTAGAATGTGGAGTAGTAGTTTATATATTAGTTGATGATATTATTAGGAATAAAAATTTCTTAATCTATTTTTAGCATATGGTATTTTATTCTTTCTGCTTTAACAAGTTGATAGCAATATTGTTTCTCTTACACTTTCTTGATTAGTGAGCACACGAGACAAACGAATGGATATTTTGAGTGGTTAAAGTGTTACAAAATTCATGCAAAGACACACAATATTATTTATATATATAAAAGGTTTTAATTGTGTTTGTCTTACATGCATTTACAGTAAATTATGTTTTAATTGTCTGTCTTACAATATCATTTTATTCTTTCTGTTGCTGTCTTATCTCATCTGGTTGCTGTAACAAGCTGACAAACAACACGCTCTCTTGGTTGGTGAGCACACAAGACAAATGAATAGATATTTTGGGTGGTTAAAGTGTTACAAAATTCATGCAGAGACACACAATATCATTTATATATATAAAGGATTTTAATTGTGTTTGTCTTACATGCACAACAAAATTTACAGTAAATTGTATTTTAATTGTCTGTCTTACAATATCATTTTATTCTTTCTGCTGCTGTCCTTTTCAATTTTTCATTTACAGTAAATTGTCTTGCTGTAACAAGATGACAAACAACATGCTCTCTTGGTTGGTGAGCACACAAGACAAATGAATAGATATTTTGGGTGGTTAAAGTGTTACAAAATTCATGCAGAGACACACAATATCATTTTTATATATAAAAGGTTTTAATTGTGTTTGTCTTACATGCACAACAAAATTTACAGTAAATTGTGTTTTAATTGTCTTTGTCTTACAATATCATTTTATTCTTTCTGTTGTTGTCCTTTTCAATTTTTCATTTAGAGTAAATTGTCTTATCTGGTTGCTGTAACAAACTGACAAACAACACGCTCACACAAGACAAATGAATTGATATTTTAGGTGGTTAAAATTTTACAAAATTCACTCATAGACACACAATACCATTTATGTGCAAGGAGTTTTAACTGTGGTTGTTTTATATGCACAACAAGATGATTGTATAAATAAATGTGGAGTGATAGAGTTGGTTGTTGGAAGGGTTTTGAAAGTTCTCTCAACTCCAACCATTATCTTCTCCATATGTTAAGTGAGGGTCTTTCACTTTCATCTCGCCACAGAGTTCACCAGAGGAAGAAGAAATCGGAGTTTCGATCAGGGAGACATCCAATTTCTGAGCAGCCGTGCTATTTAGTAGTTGTTAGTACACGTTTATAACGACATATACATGTGGAGGAGTTTTCTTAGGTAATCAGTATTGTAGTATGAGTTGAAGGAATTTCGGTTGTTTTTGTTTTTAATCAACACTTATTAGTGAACTATTCCAGAATTGGAATCCCCGGATGTAGGTTGATTATAACTAAACCGTGTAACCAAAATATCTTGTCATTTATTGTTTTGGCCACTCATGTACGTTAACAAAATTTTGTTATAATTGTGATATAACTACGCTCGGGAGTTGGCCCTTTGAAGTATTCGAATGTATTTTGTTCAATAAATCACTTTCCAACATATATTAATGTAATTATATGTAAATTAAAAAAAATAAATTAAATTACGTGGAAAGTATCATGCTTGAAAAATAATATATATATATAAATATATTTCCTCCATCTTATTGAAAAATTGTCGTTTATTTTTTTCATATTAATTTTTAAATATTAGTATTATATTAATTGTAGTAAAAATGATAAAAATACTATTATTAGTATCGAGTAATATAAAAGTAAATGAAATTTGTGTAATATATTATAAGTTGAAAGTATATTTATTATGTTAGGTATGTAGTACAATTACTAAATTAGGAAATAATTACCTTATTTTGAAACGGACGAAAATAAAAAATGACAATTTTTAAATAGAACGTAAAAATTATATTGATTTCAAATATATTAAAATAATAAAATGGATAGATTCTTTCAAATAAGAAATATATATTTTAATATATAAATTATATTCAAATTAGTAGTCAACTAGAAAATAAAAATATATTAGTCCCGAGTATTATGTCTCCTTGGAGACATGAAAATTTAGAAAAAATATAAGTATTAAATAATTAAAAGTATATTAATAAAAATAATTATTATATAATAAAATTAATCTTAAATTAAGATTAAGATAATAATCCGTGTAATTATTTTTTTAATAAAATGTTATATATTTTAATATTTAAAATGAGATTAAATGTATAATTCATTATAAAAATGAATGACCGTATGAATAGAATATACACGGTAAGTGAGACTGATGAAGTATTTTTTATAAATTATTATTCTAATATAAAACAATACTCTTTGTATATTAAATTTATGCTACTATTTTTTTATTAAATTTATTTATAATTAATTTCTTGTAAATAATTTTATTTATTTATGAGTTTTATATTCTTATTTTAATAAATAATAATTAATTTACTATTAATTTTTCTAGTTATTACATTACTTTATTATCAATCTTTCAGTAATATTTTTATAATATTCACTTTATTTTTTATCTATTATATTTTTATATTAAAATAATATAATTTTTTAGGTTGTGTTTTTTTTAGATTTTACAGTAGATTTTTACTATTCAACTTCTTATTTTCCTTTAAAGATTTCACATTAAACCATTACTTTAATTTTTTCTATATTATACTATAAATTTATTTTATATTTAAAATATTGTATCAATTTCTATTTATATCACATCAAACAACTATTCAAATTCAATTTTTTACTATTAAAAATCCAAATCTCCGATGCCTCATGTCACCTCCGGTGCCTCAGGTCACCTGTCACACATGGTTCGCCTAGTGTGATTTTTCGGGCCTGATTTGCAGGATATTAGGTTCGACCGGAGGTTTACCCATTGCGTACTTTCGAATAGCGATTGCGAATTTCCACGTTATAAAAAAATATAAATAAATAAATAAATAAAAATCTAAATCCAAACACAAAAACTAAAATCCACGACCAAACACATTGTACCTACCAAACAAGCAAACTTTATATTTGTGGATAGACAAAGTAAAATCATATTTTAAATGATTACACTATTCAAATTTTCAATAAGCATTCAAAGTAGATAAGAGAAAATCAAGACATCTTACTTGATAAAAGTCCAAAAAGCCAATGCGTTTTTAGGAAATAATTAATACATTTTATCTTATCATATAATTTAAATAAAAAAATATATATACAAGTTTTTCTCTTGTCACATTATTTAATTTCTATTTTATTATATCTACATAGATTCTTATGTCAAAATCTAAAGGTTGCTTTTTCATATATGGGAGGAAAAGAATACTATTTTCTTTAGTGCGTTGGATTGGTAGACTTTATTTATACATATATATATATATATATTTTTTTCATAAATTTTAAAATTATTTATTAATAGTTATTTTTCAAAATCATCATATCATATAGACAAATCAATAGTTTTTGATCGGTGTTTAGGTGATATTCAACTTACCAACTCTATTTATTCAATTTTAACTCTAAATATGTTGTTGCTATAATAATTTTACTCTAACCATAATTGCATTTTTCACTATTATTTTTTAAATATTTAATTTTTCATATTATTTTAAATAATTTTTTATTTTTATAATTTAAAATAAATTTTTTAAAAATTTAGAAAAATAAAAAATAAATTTACAAATTAAAATAAAAATTTAAAAATTTAAAAAAAAAAAATAATAATAATAAAAAGTAACGCCATTTTTTGGGGTTGCTAGTGCAACACCAAAATTGCGATACGAAAAAGTATTTTGTTCTTGGTTTCATTTTTTTTTTATTCCTTTATATTTATATATTTATCGATTTGATTACGGTTGTTGATTATTTTTAGACAATACCGATCAAGAGTTTAGAAAGCATTGATCAAATGTCCATAAAGCATATGCTATATTTAAGAAGTGTGTTATCTAGATTATTGATCGGTGCTTTTTGGAATTTTGATCGAAACAATTTGAAGAAATAATAACAGTGTCATGTATTCTATAGGAGTATGTCATGTGTTTTAATTCTTATATTGTATTGTACTCTCTCCGTCACGACAAAGATGAAGAATTTTTTTTGGGCACGTGAATTTAGTATAGATTAGTTATTTAGATGACGGAGATTAGTTATTTAATGATAAAAAAAATTAATATATATGCTTAAATATTTTTAACATTATATCTCAATAAAACCTTATACTACCTCTATTCGACTCTAATGGTCTAATTTACTTTCTGAGTATTGAATTTGAATATTAATTATTATATGAAAACATAGTATAAGGGAAATAACAAAAATACTTCTATTAGTGTTGTTATTACTAATCCAAGATCAACAACACAACATTCACATAGAAATACTCCAAATCTAACGAAAACTTAAAGAAACTTTTATTATTACAGAAGCAATCTACCCGGACTCATTTTTACCCTCAAATCGAACAAACCGATATCGAACATACATCCAAGACCCAAACCACAAATGACTCGCCACGAAATCGAAACTAACATACAAACCGAACCCTAATCTAAGGAAACATTGCCGAAAT